ACTCTTTTTTTATGTATAATATTTCATTAAAAAATTTTTTTAAATCCCATACAGACGCTCTTAGTTGAGAAGGGAGTAAAGTATATACTGCCTTGCACTTTGAACATATCACTGATTTTCTGGCATTACAGGATATCTTACAGTGGGTCCAGCGTGACAATTGACTTGACTATGAGTACCTTATCATTACTTATTATTCTATAATCACTGCCTAAGCACTTTACATAAAATAAGTCATCTTTTAATTTGCTCTAGCCAGAAACCTTAGTGTTGTCTTTGAGTCTCTCCAACTTTATATCCATTAGCCACTTCTCAGAGTCTATATGTACATATATCAGCTTCTGACCACATCTCAACACCTCCGCTACTGCCACTCCCATTCATGTCACCATCTACTCCTACCTCAGTTATGGCAGGAGATTTTTTTGCTGACCTTTCTTTCTGTCCTTTCTCCCCTTCAACGTACTCTCAACCCAGTGGTGAGTATGATCCTGTTAAAATGAAGCTCTCATCTCACTTTGTTCAATGTCCTTACCTCCAGGATCCTATAGGAGATGGCTTCTCATTCCTCGTCTGACTTCTTCTCTTAATTGTCTTTCCCTTGTTTCCTGTGGCAGCAAACATGCTAAGTGTGCTCCCTCTGCCTATTCTGTGTTATCCTCACACATACCTCACTCCCACACCTATTTTAGAGTTTTATTTACCTGCCACCTTCTCAGTAAGGTCTGTCCTGACCATGTTACTTAAAATCGCAACCCCTTTAACTTTTCCTACCTGTCTTTCCTTATTTTTTCTAATGTATTTATCACCTGCTAACACTATGTTTCTTATTCATACTGTTTTCTCTTATCCCTCACATAAGGTACACTTCCTCTATGCAGAGATTTTTGTCTGAGTGTTCTTTGCTTTATCTCTAGTACCTAGAACAACACCTGGTCATAATACATACTTACTAAGTATTGGTTGAGTGAATGTACAAATGAATTAACAAGCGAACAGCCATTCCCAGCCCTTTTTCTAGGCTTTATTTTTCCCTCAATGCACATGTGCTCTCTATAAAGGAAGAGTGTTACTACTTTTATGATAGCTTCTTTACTTCATTTTTAAAGTTTTTAATTACAGTTTTATTATACCATACATTTCACCTACTCAAAATATGCAGTTCATTGATTTTCAGTATGTTCGCAGTTGTGCAGTCATCACCATAGTCAATTTTAGAACATTTTCATCACCCCAAAAGAAGCTCCGTAGTCACTAGTGGTCATTCCCCATTCCCTACCCCTTAAATCTCTCCCTCTCCATTCCTAGGTAACCACTACTCTACTTTATTCTCTGTAGATTTACCTATTTTGGATATTACATATAAATGGAGTCATACAATGTGTGGTCTTTCGTGGCTGGCTTCTTTTTACTTAGCATGTTTTCAGAGGTCGTGTTGGGGCATGTATGAGTACTTCATTCTTTTTTGTGGCTGAGTAATATTCCATTGTATGCATATACCACATTGATCCATGCATTAGTTGATAAACATTTGTGTACAGGTGTTTGTATCAATACATATTTTCATTTTTCTTGGGTATATTCTAGTAGTGGAATTACTAGGTCATATGGTATCTCTGTGTTTACCCTTTTTTAAATTATTTATTTTTAAAGATTATTTATTTGAGAGAGAGTAGAGCGAGAGACAGAGAGAGAAAGCATGAGCAGGAGTGAGGGGCAGAGGAAGAGGGAGAAGCAGACTCTCTGCTGAGCACGGAGTCCAACGCGGAGCTCGATCCCGGGACCCTGAGATCGTGACTTAAGCCGAAGGCAGACACTTTGACTGAGCCACCCAGGCATCCTTACCCTTTTTTAAGAAACTACTAAACTGTTTTCTAAAGCAGCTACACCACTTAAAAATCCCTCAAGAAGTGCAGGTGGGTTCTTTTCTCCACGTCCCTTTGATTCTGGATATCCCAGTGGGTATAACGTGTTATCGTATTGTGACTTCGATTTGCATTTCCCTGATACTTAGTTATGTTGAGAAACTTTTCATGTGTTTATTGGCCATTTGTATATCTCCTTTGGAGTAGTCTGTTCAGATCCTTTGCTCATTCTTAAGTTGGGTTGTCTTTTTAAAATCAAGTTGGAATACTTCTTTATTGGGTACTAGATCCTTATCAGATTATGACTTGCAAATATTTTCTCCCATTGTGCGGATTATCTTTCTCTTTCATGATAGCATTCTTTGAAGCACAAAAGTTTTTAATTTTGATGAAATTCAATTTATGTATTTTTATGTGGCTACTTATGTTTTTTTTGGTATCATAGCTAAGAAAACATTGCTTAATCCAAGGTCAAGATTTATACCTACAGTTTCTTCTAAGAGTGTTATAATTTTGGCTCTTAAATTTAGATCCCCTTTAATTTTTGTATGGGATCAGAGGTAGGGGTCCATTTTATTCTTTTGCATGTGGATATCCTCTTGTCCCAGCACCATTTGTTAAAAAGACTTATTCTTCCTCCCCACTGAATTGTTTGGGCATCCTTATCAAAATCAGTTGGCTTTAAATTTAGAATTTATTTCTGGACTCTCACTTCTGTTCCATTCGTTTTAACTTCTTATACATTGCTATCAGAAGGCTCTGAGGCAGATGGTTTCTTTTGAGCTGTATTCATCCTGCCTAAGCTGTGTTAGTAGCTGGGAGCCTTGTAGTAATAATGGTTTTCTGGAAGGCTGTTTCCTTGGGAAAAGCTTTCAGGAAAGACACATTTTAAAGCATCTTAATTGCAGGCTGGAGGTTTTCTTTGCCTCTGTGGAGTTATAAAGCTCAGTATTTGTAATCATGATTTTCTGTCTTTAGTCTTCTTGGCTTTCCTCATAGCTGTCCATTTTGAATTCCTATTTTCCTCCTAGGGACCTCTTTTCAGCCCCCATGGAATTTGAAAGCAATGGTCAAGTGAGTTGCATACATTTGTGTGGACTTAGAATAAAACCCTGTCCTGCTCAAGTATATCTGTAGTTGACCAGCATTCTGGCATGTGGCCTGAAAATAATGGGGCCAGCTGGCAGTCGTCTTGTGGTTTTGAGGCCACGTTGGACCACACAGGTACCTTTGCATCCCAGGCTATTAGGTTGCCAGGAATAACCGGCGTATAGGTAATTCAGTGTGTCTGCTTTTCTCGGTCATTCAGCCAGGTAGTCGTAAACCCCTATCCAGGCACATATTCTCTTAAATTCCTAAAACATAGATTTAATCATCATTCAAGGGACTATGGTGTATTAATCCATTAATCATGTAATTGCTCTCAAAATATCACTCTCCTGTTGGTCTAACAGTTGTGCTATAGTTCTTCCAAGATACATTTCATTTGGGTGACAATCATGTAATTTCTTCAGAATTATAGAATAATCCATTATCTGTGCTTGCTGTGGTGGCCATTAATTTAATGAATATTTGCAGGGCGCCTGGGTGACTCAGTCGGTTAAACATCTGCCTTCAGCTCAGGTCATGATCCTGGGATCGAGTTCTGCATCGGGCTCCTTGCTCAGCAGGGAGCCTGCTTCTCCTTCCGCCTGCCGTTCCACCTGCTTGTGCTCTCTCTCTCTCTCACCAAAAGGAAAATAAAATTTAACAACTGTTTGCATGCCATCAGTGTGCTAGGATCCTGTGGGGTATTATCTCTTCAGTGTATTGTCACCCTCAGCACACTTGTTCGGCCAGGAATTTATATGTGAAAGCACTTACCTTTGGGATTGCCTTATTAGGGCCTTCTAGGTTACCTCCATACAATGATTGTACTTAGCCAAACATGCCAGCAGTCACAAACTGTTATTCATCCATTTATTCAATAAATGTTGAATGAAAGCCTCCTGTTATGCCAAATGCTGTGACTGCTGCTGACCAAACAAAGGTGAGGACTGACAGCCTTCTCTGTCCATAGACCAGGCATCATAAAATGATGTTGCTTAGAATTCTACAACTGCATCAGTGGATTTTTCTTACATAACACATGGTACTTTGAGAACACATAATATAGTCACCTACTCATTAAAACAACCAAAAAAATCTTAGGTGCCTACTATGTGCTAAAGGTGTTTGACTTGTGAAGATGAGGAACAGCTTCTCTGAAGAAGCGACAGTTAAGCCAGCAAGGCTAAGGGACAGTAGAAAATCATTCCATTATCGAGAGGGCAGCATGTGCCAGAGGGACCAAAGAAGGCTATTATGGCAGGAAACCAGCACAGGTACAAAACAAGACTTAGACAGGACCAGGCCGCCACTTTTACCCAGCCTACAAACTGAGTCTTAATGAAATAGGTTAGCTCTTATTCAGATTTGATTTCTAGATAGAAATGTTAAATTTTAAAGTACCTTCTTATTTAGATCGTTGTTTCTTCAACTTTACTGTGCTTAAGAATTACCTAAAGGACTTGTTAAAGCAGATTTTTGAGTCTCCACTCCCAGAGATTCTATAAGTCTGCATGGTGTTCAACAATTTGAATTTCTATTAAGTTTGCAGAAGTTACTGGTGCTGCTGGTCCTGGCCTTCCCATTTTTACTTAGAAATATATTCCTAGATTTTCAGTATCCTTAGAGTAACAAAATTAATTCATCTGTCTTGTCATTGTTTTCCTTGTGTATAACTAGTAAAGGATCATTTTTTAGTTATATAATTTTCTTTTTTCAGGAGCTGTATTTTATAGAAGTTATTTTAAGTCTATACATTTATACTTACCTGTGTACCTTATGTATGTGTGTATATATGTATATACGTACACACAGGACTCTATGAGGTGATGTGGTAACAAACCGTATTGGAGAGGCATAGCCCCAGAAATCAAGATACTTAAAAAGAAATTATGACTAACAAAAACTTGTAAAGTTACTAGTCCTACCTTGACAGCTGTTGAGATTTAAAATTTAGAACAGTATCATTTGGGATTTGGAAAGAGTTGGTGTTTCAGTAAGAGTAAACCTATGTATTATTGAATCCGTTTTTTATTTTTGTTTTTCTAGATCTGATTACTTGTTTAGACACTGCATCCAGTTTTTTGGAACCTGAATTCAGGTATGACCATATTTGTGACTTTTTTCCCCCTTAAATGTTACTCTTCACTACTCCATCATTATTCTTATACATTTAGGTTTAATGTACATTAATATATGTGTCATAGGTGTGACAGATAATCATTGTTCCAAGACGTCAATAAATTAGAGCTTATTTAAAGCCATTGAGTTACCATATTTAAATTTTGCTTTAATTGTAGCATTTGGATCTTCTCTATAACGGAAGTATAATTTCAATATACTTTAAAAGTAGAACTAGTTGCTTTTCAAAATCTGGCAAAACTGCTAATGAAGTTAGAGGAGCTAACTTTTTTTTTTCCTCAAAAAAGGGAAGAGAACGATTTAGGCTATGACAGAATTCTTCAGTGTTCTTGCCCAAGCAGCATTTCTACTACTGTTTCCCAGCTTTATGTCCTTGTCTCTTGTCTGGACTGGGATTCCTTCTATTTGATTTTCCATTTCTAATCTTTGTTGGCTTTTATTCTGCCACTCACATTGCTGCCAAGTTTCATTCTAAAATAAATGCCCGATCATTCCCCTACTTAAGAATCTTCAGGAGCTCCTTATTATTAAGACAAAATGCCATCCAGATTTCTTAGCCTGGGTTTCAGGATCCTTCCCAGGTAGTCTTTGGACCATTTTTCCAGTCTCATCTTATGTACTCATGGATTCTTTTTTTTTTTTTTTTAAGATTTATTTATTTGAGAAAGAGAGTGAGCATAAGGGGGGGCGAAGGTCAGAGGGAGAAGCAGACTCCCCACTGAGCAGGGACCCCGATGCGGGACTCGATCCCGGGACTCCAGGATCATGACCTGAGCCGAAGGCAGTCACTTAACCAACTGAGCCACCCAGGTGCTCCTATACTTATGGATTCTTGACACTGCTCTGAGCTCTCAGAACTCTACCCAGAATTGCTTTACTCCTCTTTGCTTGGCAGCTTTATTCTCATCTTCTAAGACTGGTCTCACTAACCTCCCCCCAACTTGCTACCACTCCCCAAAGAGGAACCTTTATTTTGTCTTCATGGATAGTTCTCTGTCTGTGGGATGGGTGTGCTCGTCAGCACTTACAGAGGATCCCAGTGAGCAGAGGTGACTCTGGCATCAGTGTCTGGCATACAGCCCTGCCACCAGGTCTTGGAGCCTCTGCTTCAGCTCCAGCATCCCCACCCACAGGCAAGCTGCCATTTCCTCTTGCCTGGACTGCTGCACCACCAGCCCACTGAGGTCTCAGCTTCTCCTCAGGGTTCCTTCCAGTCTCTTCTCAGGAGCCAGAATAATCTTTTTCAGAAATATGTGTATAAGCCTTAAAATCCTTTATTGACTTCCCATTTTTACTTAGAAATATATTCCAGACTCTTCACCCTAGCCCACAAGGCTTCTCCACAATCTGACTCCTGCCCACCTCTCCAACCATCTCTCAAACTAATGTTACCTTTTAATTTTACAGTATCACTGTACTCTGCCTGCACTGGTCATCTCAGTTGAAGACACACACAGGCCACCTCACTTCATGGACACACTGTTCCTGTCCATTAGGGTGCATTTCCCTCCCTTCACTGAGGCTTTGCTTCCTCAGAGCCCCATTTCCTGATTTTGGCAGTGCAGAGCCCTGTGCAAGAGCATCGACTCTGGAGCCCATATGCCACTTAGCAGTTATGGGACCTGGGCACACTGTTTCTCAGTTCCCTCATCTGTAAAACGAAGATAATCCTAATACCTACCGTTAGGGTTCTTGTGTGGGTTCCTGAGGTGCTCAGAAGGACGCCTGGCACATAGTAAATTTGCTGAATGTTAGTGTTACTTTTATTAAGCTTGCTTCCTCCAGGTTATTTCATGGAGTGCCTTTTCTTCATAGCAGAATCATAATCTGATTAATGACTCATTTAAGTATTAGTTTAATGTCTCCCCCCTGACCTCTGGAGTGTAAACCCAGGGAAGACTGGGCCGTATTTATTTGGTTGATGTTTGTAAACCCAATACCTAGCACAGCCCAGCACTCAACAGACAACATACTAGACATTCGGGTAAATGTGTTGAGTGGGTGGGTGGGTGAGTGAGTGAATTAATGAATGCCAAACATTTTTAAGTCACATTTGATCAGTAGTGGGTTGGTGAAATAAATTGTGGTTTATCCACAAAATAGAATAGCAGGTAGCTGTTAAATATGAATAAGTCTTATAGTAAAAATATGTCTGCCATTCATTATGAAGTAAAATAAAGCAGTATGTAGAATATGACACAATTATTTTAAATATGTGGATGAAGATGTCTTATATGGATGGATGGAATAAAGTGTGAAAGGGCTTTTTAGAAGTAGTGCTTCTCAGTGTAGTGAGATTGTAGTATTTGAATGAACTGAAAAATGAATATGTGATTTTTGTTGTTGTTGTTCTTTTCCCCCAGTAAGTACAGAACTATTTTATACCCTTTAACTTGTTTTTATTTCACAGTAAGTACTGCCCAGCTGGTTGTCTGCTTCCTTTTGCTGAGATATCTGGAACAATCCCTCATGGATATAGAGATGTAAGTCTAAGCAGCATAGACTTATGTTCAAGTTGTGATAGAACTTTATTTTTTTTTTTAACTCCAGAATATGTTGATGTACCTAGTGTATATCTTTAATCTTGATTTATTTTCTAGGAATTATTTCTTTTTATTACGGATGTGATGTTTTATTCTTTTTCTTGTGCTACAAGTCTGTACTGTGTTACCACATCGGTAATCCTGTGTTTATTGAGAAAACTGCCCCAGTCAACTCATTTCTTGAGGAAGCCTAAGTGTCTTGTTTATAAATTATCAAAAGAAAATTAAATACTAATCTTTTGTTTTTCCTTTCCTCAAGTCCTCGCCCTTGTGCATGGCTGGTGTGCACGCAGGAGTAGTGTCAAACATTTTGGGTGGCCAAATCAGTGTTGTAATTAGTAAAGGTATCCCGTACTATGAGAGTTCTTTGGCTAACAACGTCACGTCTGTGGTGTAAGTATATACGTTATTGGTCATATAAGGAAGGGCGTGAGGCAGGGGTGGGATAGCAGCTTGTTAGACCTCAGCAACATCACTGTTGACGGTGTTCATGAAATAACATTTGTGTGATGAGTCCTCCCATTTTTGTGTGCTCTTTGTCCGCGTGTACTGAAGAGGACAGGCAGGGTCACACTGGGAGTCATATAGAAGGATGATTTGTTCTTTTCTGAGTGTTGAAAATGTCTAGAGTAAAGGTCTAAAAGTCTGTGGCCAAATTTTTACTTCATTTTAAAGGTTAGAAGGCATAACTGCTCTGTTTCTTACAGCCAGTGTGACCTAGGATGGATTGAGGATAACTGAAATACTCTTGAATATAAATTAAATTTTGACGTAAACCAGGGACGCCTGGGTGGCTCAGTCGGTTAAGTGGCTGCCTTCGGCCTGGGTCATGATCCCAGGGTGCTGGGATCGAGTCCCTCATTGGGCTCCTTGCTTGGCAGGGAGCCTGCTTCTCCCTCTCTCGCCCTCTGCTTGTGCTCTCTCTGTCAAATAAATAAAATCTTTAAAAAAAAATTTTTTTTTGACGTAAATCAGAGGTAGTTGTATTATGAATCCTCCTCTCCTCCAAAGAGAATATTTGAAGAGTGTATTTTTTATAGTCACTACAGTGATCTGTTTTATGAAACATAGACTAGGCATCAAAAGCAGGAAAAGTTGAAACATTAAATAAAAATGTAAACCTTGGAATCTGTTTTAGTAAATCTTGCCTGTCAGATGGGCTCAGTCCTGTAGACAATACTAAACCTAACTGAAACCAGCTTCTCTTCAGAGGTTCTAGGCCAGTTTTCATTCAGAAGATGAGAGCATGATCCATATCCATGACTGTGATAAAACAGGAGTCACCAAACTTTTCCTGTAAAGGACCAGCTAGCAAATATATTAGGCTTTATGGGCCACACGTCACTTATTCTCTCTTGATTTATATAAGACTCTTTAAACATGTAGAAACCATTCTGCGCTCACTGGCCATACAAAACAGGCCGTGCATGAGTGAGCTATCATTTGCCCATCCCTGGTATAGAGTTAGCAACCTTTCCTTCTCTTGGTTTCTTCTAGATGATTTTATGCAGACCTTATCATTCCTTTCCCCTCTTCTGCCTTTAGAAATAATTTGGTCAGTTCTTTCTTTCATACTTTAAGGGAAAAATAAGGACAGGTTGCATCCACTTGTAATAATGCTTTGAATGTTGTGCTGAAGCAGGAGCAGACACTGATGATTTTATCCCCCCAGGTTCTTTAGAGTCCTTGGTAAACTGGTCATGTGTCCCATGGCTCCATTCTCCCCAACTGCACTTACTTGCCTGTTACTTTGAAATCCAGATGCAGTGCTGCATTGTAACACTGAAACTTGTTCTTAGCTGTTTATATCTTATAACAGAGGCAGTCTCTCCTGTTTGTAGCCAGCTTTTTTTCTCTTTACCTTAGCCTCATTCTCTGGGAATTACAGTGTATTTGCAACAAAGGAAATGAGAGTTTGAGGAATGAAAGATAATAAGTACATATTAAAGATTACGTGGGCATACTTGCACATTTCATGTATGAAACAGGCACTAGATACTTGTAGAGAAAATTGTTTCTGCTGATTTCAGCAGTTGTTCTGCTTTGAAATGAGACTTTTTTTGGCTAAGAGCAGCATCAGTTGTCAAATCTGTGGCCATAGAATATCCTTAGTTCTTTATATAGTAAAACAAAAACAAAAGAAGAAGTTTTACTAAGACAAATATGGGGAGGTCAATATATGAATGTCACCAAGAACAACTTTTCTGTTTTTCAGGGGACACTTATCTACAAGTCTTTTTACATTTAAGACAAGTGGTAAGCCTCTCGTGGACTTTATAACTTATTATAATTTGTGTAATAGTTAATATTTTATAAACTATCATGCAATATGCCAATTGCTGTTTTGTTTTTTTTTTTGCACCTTCCCATATGTCACAATAAATAATGGGTGGAATAAACTGGAGGTTTTATATTAATAGGGAAATGATCATGTAAGCAAGGAAAGTTACTTAGGAAAGTTGATTTTTTAATATGTCTGAAGAAGTAATTAATTCAACAGAAAATAGTTATTGAGTGCCTTTGATTTGTCAGGCACAGTCCTGGTGCTAGTGAAACAAAAGTGAGCAGAAGTTAAACGAAATCCTCCTTTCTTGGAGTTTAAATACTGGTATTGAGAGATCGACAGTAAACAGATAAATTACTACATATGATATACTCTTTATTATATTATAGAAGATGTAGAAAAATAAGGAAAGAGGATAGGCAATGCAGGAGGGGGTCCTGTAGGCCTCGTGGAGAATGTGACATCTGAGCAAACACCTAATGGCAATAGGGAGTGAGTCATTCACTGGTCTGGAGATAGTGTCCCAGGGAGAGGATAATGTATTGCCATTAAATTGATGGTTATTGCTTGTGAGTAAATATGTATGTACATTGCCTGATGAGACACAAAAACATGGACCCAAGAAACATTTGCCTACTTTTGAAATTCCTCTATTACAGTGTATTATTAGCATAGTGTATGTTAATTGAACGTACAATAGAAAGTTTCCATTGAGCAAATAATACAGAATTTTTATCTGAAAACCAAATTACTGTCTTTTTTCTTTCAGGTTGTTATGGAACACTGGGGATGGAATCTGGCGTGATTGCCGATCCTCAGATAACAGCATCATCTGTGCTGGAGTGGACTGACCACACAGGCCAAGAGAACAGCTGGAAACCCGAAAAGGCCAGGCTGAAGAGACCTGGGCCTCCTTGGGCTGCTTTTGCCACTGATGAATATCAGTGGTTACAAATAGATCTGAATAAAGAAAAGAAGATAACAGGTTAAGAGACATATTTTTCTAGAATGATTTATAGTTCTGATTTTGTTTGGAAACCTGATGACATCTAAGATTTTCATAGAAAATTAGCTCACCACAGATTTAATTGTATGGTTTTAAGTTCTCTTTACTGGTGTTAAATATTCCTGAAGGTGGCTTTATAAAACATGGCCGAGGAAAAAAGTTGGTATTTGATTTTTATTAGCTTTTCTTTTTCATTGTAATAAGATTCTTTAAAGGTAGTGTTTCAATTAAGTGATCTTGACATTTGAAATAACCATCTCTTAGTCATTAAAAGAAATTTATATTCAAGGAGTTCATTTTAAGTAATTATTTATATTATTATTATTATTATATTTAAGGAGTTCATTTAAATAATATTCTTAATGTGCTGAATACAAATTTATTTGGAGCAGTTCATCAAATGGTCAGAATAATTTATTAGAATTAGGTTAGGTAATTTTGTTAAAGATTTATTTTGATATGGTACTGGAAAAAATAATTGTTTTAATCCATTCATTCCCAGGGAGTCATTGTTATTTGGTAGGTGAGATATATTTTATAGTGATATGAACACAAGCTGTCAAAGTAGAATAGTCCTTTCCTCATGTGCACCCATAATTCTTGGCATCTTTTTTTTTTTTTTAAAGATTTTATTTTTTGAGAGAGAGAACGAACAGTGGGGAGGGACAGAGGGGGAGAGAGAGAGAGAGAGAGAGAGAGAGAAGCAGGCTCCCCGCTGAGCAAGGAGCCCGATGCGGGACTCCATACCAGGACCCTGGGATCATGACCTGAGCTGAAGGCAGACGCTTAACTGACTGAGCCACCCAGGCGCCCTAATTCTTGCATCTTTACAAGGGAACAAAACCAAGGATTTAGTTGCTGTTATAATGAAACCTTGCACTTAGAGATGGTAACGTGCTTTTGGCAAAAATGTTTTAACAGTGTACTTTAGGTGTTTGTGCTTCAATGCTGAACAGACTTTAAGGATCAGACCACGTGCACTAATGAAGGCAACTTTCCATTCCCCAGGCATTGTAACCACTGGCTCCACCATGGTGGAACACAATTACTATGTGTCAGCTTACAAAATTCTGTACAGTGATGATGGACAGAGATGGACTGTCTACAGAGAACCTGGTGTGGAGCAGGATAAGGTAAAATGATTGCCAGAGTATTTTAAAAAATGGGCCTTTGCCAAGAATCACGGAAGCTCTCCTGTGTGATGTTCAAGTTAGCTATCATTTGGTCTTTGTGCTCTTCTGGTTATTTTAGGCTGTGTTGGTTATTAGCCTTACTCTTCTAACTATAGTTAGGAAATTCTCAGTGGTTCTAGGTCCCTTTTGATGATTGTTAACACTTTTAACTCAATTGTTTAGGTACTTTATTAAAAAATTCTAAAAAGGAGGGGTACCTTGCTGGCTCAGCCGGTATAGCATGGGACTCTTGATCATGAGTAATGATCAGGGTCATGAGTTCAAACCTCACGTTGACTGTAGAGCCTACATGAGTGAATGAATGAATGAATGAGTGAATGAATGACTAATTTTCAGTAAGTGGTGATAACTTACTAAAAAAAAAAAGAAATTCTAAAAAGGAACTTGTAATTTCTGAAGTTTTTCTTGTTAATCCACAGAATGATGGAGAGCCTAATTTGTTCCCAGATTACTTCTATGTAGACAAGGGGGACAAAAGACAAAAGCTAAAGGCAAAAGTGCATTAAAGTGTTGGCTATAGACTTGAAAGGTCATTTCAGGATCACCTTACCAAATTTTGTCTTAGAAAACTTCTGTTTTTTCGTACCTGAAGAATTTCCTTAACTTCCGTGTTACTTATCAAATTGTTGTTTTAGTTAGGAGACAGTGATAATGCAGGAATGCTCCAACGCAGATGATAAGGGGTGGGGAGTAGGGAGAAGTGGCTGTCCTCTAGATATCACTTTCACCCAGGCTCCTGGCCCATGATCCACCACAAGACCTTGTAACTGGGGGGAGTCCTTGTCCCCGAGGAAGGTAGATTTCTTCTTATCTAGAATTGAAATTATAAGCACAAATTTTTTTAATGAAACTTCCCTGAGTTTTGTTTCAATTATATGATACTATCTGTTCTCTATCATATATACGATTTGCTAATATATCTTCAATTACCACTTTTCTTATCTCTCTATTCAGAAAACTCCAGGGGCTCCTTATAATCTGTCATATGGATCTAAACTCTTCCGTTGTTATTCAAGGCCTTCTTCCCTCTCTTCTGCCTGATATCACATGACCTTCATCTGTGGTGAGGCTCTACCCATTGAAGTAAATAACAATATTTATACCTATCTTCCTTCTGCTTAATAACCCCAAACTTGGCTGCTTTTTACTCTGGGCACATCCATACTTATTTATAGAATATTTATTATACTTGTGGAATATAGTTAATTTTTTATAAAATTATAAGAATTATTCATGCTTATATCATAAAAACATCTAGCACCATTGAATTATGTTTCTGAAAAAGACTTTCTCTTTTGCTTCATTTTTTGAAAGGTAGTTTCATAAGGTATAGAATTCTAGGTTGATGTTTTTCCCTCCACACTTTAAATATGCTGTTCCACTGTTTTCTGGTTTGCATTTTCCAATAAGAATTCTATCTTTCATACCTTTGTTCCTCAATATGTAATGTGTCTTTTTATTCCTTAGCTGTTGTTAAGATTTTCTTTTTATCATCTGTTTTAAGCAATTTGATTATGATGTGCTTTTGTGTAGTTGTCTTCATGTTTCTTCTGCTTGGGTTTCTTTGAGCTTCTTGGATCTGTTGGTTATAATTTGCTTCAAATTTGGAAAATTGTGGGCCATGTTTTCTCAAATTTGTTGCCTCCCTAATTCTAATTACATGAATATTATGACTCTTAAAGATGTGTCACAGTTTACTGATACCCTGTTCATTTTTTTTTTTTTTTAATCTCTCTCCATGTTCTAGTTTGGAAAATTTTATTGTTTTGCCTTCAAGTTCACTAATCGGTTCTGTAACATCTAATCTATTAATCCCATCCAGTGTACTTTTATCTTCAGTGTTGTACTTCTAGATTTTCAGTTTTGGGCTTTTAAAATTTTTTCCAAGTTTCTACTGAGCATGCTTACGCTTTTTTCTGCCCCTAAAACATATGAAATATATAGTACCTCTTTTGATGCCCTTATCTGCTGATTCTGTCTACTTATGTGTGACATGTGGGTCTTTTCATGTTGTTGGATATTATGGGTCATATTTTACATACCTGGTAATTTTTTATTGGTTGCCAAACATTATGAACTTTTACATTGTTTGGTGCTAGATTTTCTATTATTATTTATCTAATTTTGAGCTTTATTCTGGGACATGGGTACTTGGAATAATTGGAATTATTTGATCTTTTTAAGGTCTGCATTTTAGCTTTGTTAGGCAGGACCTGAGCAGCTTTTAGTCCTAATTTTTTTTCTACTGTTAGTACTGTTCCAGGTACTCACCCCAAAGTCTCATGTATTATGAGTTTTCTCCACAATATCAGTTAGTAATGTGAACTGTTCCCAACCTTGCCTAGCTCTGAGAATTGTTCTGCTGGCTCCCTTCCAGCAGTTCTTTTCCCATCCACAGATTGTTTCTTTACATGCAACTGAAGATTTAAGGGGAAACCCCCCTACAGACCCGAGAAGTCTCTTTTTCTCTCTCTGCGCAGCTCTCTTCTCTCCTACACTCTGTCTCACAGATTCTAGCCATCTTGGCCTCTCCATCTCCGAGCTCTGTGTCCTCATTTCAGTGAGACCACCAAGGCTCTCTCCGGACAATATTGGGGCAATAGAAAGGCTCACCTCATGTGTTTCTCTTCTCTCAGGGATTAAAGCCCCATGCTGCCTACTGTCCAGTGTTGGAAAACCCTTGTTTCATATATTATATCTGATTTTTCAGATGTTTAAGCAAAGAGTAAACTTAGTCCCTATTAGTCTGTCCTGGATAGAAGTGGAAGTCCTTACACTGAATTATACAGAATACAAGTCTCTTGCCTCACATTAGCCCATCTGCTCCCTCATCTGCCTCCAGCTCAAGAGTAATTGGTGTATTCATTTTCACACCCTTTCTAAGTATGCACACATGCATAAGCAGATAGACTGAGACAGCTTTTGGGTTTGTTTTCAGAAGATAGGAATGAATATACAACTTGCTTCATAATATATTGCTTTTTAATAGTGTGCCGTATCTGTGTGTGGTAATATCCTGTAAAATTTAAGTTCCTTGAGAGTAGGAACTTGGACTTCCATTTCCATCTTTATCCTCATGACTCCTTGCAGACCTCGCTACACACAGGGGCTTATAATAAATGCTCATAGATTATAGATCTTTTTTACTTAGTTTATATAAAATCTTTTTCTTTTAAGGTTTTTTATAAAAATGAAACTGTGGTGTGGAGTAAGACCTCAGGGATAGTTTTCATGTCCTAAAGTGATCATCGTTCCTGTACCACTAATGTAGTAGACTGCAAATATTTGCCTTCATTTTATTTCAGAGTAATAGCTGAGGAAATAATGGGAGTTTACTAGTTTGGAAATTATTATAACTTCAAAACAAACCTTGTAGAAAATGAAGGCTATTAACACATCTTAGAAGTTTACAATCTAATGCTTTGTGAATCAGCCAAAAGAAAATAGCTACATTTGGACATGACTTAATGGAAGAGTTAAACATTTACTTGCTCTCACATTAACTGATAAAATACAAACCACTTTGATTTTAGGCAGGTATCTATTTATTAGTAGCCTTTAGAAACTAGCCAGGTGATTTGGCGTAAAGGAACAAGGAAGACTTTTCGCTTAGTGGAGCCCTAGAGTTAAGTCAGGAGACTCGGACTCAAGTCACTGCTCGGTCATTGACTGGTTATGCAGTCCGTTTACATTCTGGAGCTGCAGTTTTCTGGGTTCTGCCTATTTCATGGGGTTGTCATGGAGAACAGCTGAGTTACTTCTATGAAAATGCTTTGTAAATAAGAGCTCTTGCAGTGTTACATACTATCATTATTTGCTCGAAATGGTTGAGGGGATGAGGTAGTCACTTGAAATCGTATTTTTATGTATTTTTATCTAAAGACTATTTGTATAATACGTATAATGCATCTGTTGCTGTTTACTTAGGATCATTAAAATTAGGCAACAGTGTTTCAGAATCGCTTGTGAAGTTTAGATAGCAGCAGAGAATGAAAATGGATAATACAGGAACTGTCTTTATGTAGTTTCTCCAGTAGGTGGAAGTATATTGCTGTTATGCATTCCTTAGTGTACGTTCACTTTCTGTCTCTTTTCTGAGAGAAAAAGTATGAGAAGTATACAGTAAAGCATTTCCTCTAAGACCTTGTATTTTCAATTATGCTTTACTTTGAAAATTAATATTTTTAAATAGCTGGTAGTGCTGCAGGACTAGAATTACTCATTTATTACAAGAATTACACTGTCTCACTGCAGCTGAAACATTCTTCTCAAATTGCCAAATTAGCATTTTTGGTATGTTTCAATCATTTTAAAATCATTTTTGTACTCAGTACTCTTAGTTTTTGATAAGAATGCGCAGCTTAGTACTCCAAATTATTTATTTTCTGAGAAATTAATTCTTACTGTCATACTTTACAGATCTCATTTAAGGCCCAAAGCAAAAACCAAAAATACATTTCAGTGGAACAGTTTAGCCCTGACCTCTGTTGACATAAAGTACCAATTTTTTGTTTTTTAAAGATATTTCAAGGAAACAAAGATTATCACCAGGATGTGCGTAATAACTTTTTGCCACCAATTATTGCACGTTTTATTAGAGTGAATCCTACGCAATGGCAGCAGAAAATTGCCATGAAAATGGAACTGCTTGGATGTCAGTTTATTCCTAAAGGTAAAGCAATAGTATGTTATTTAATTTAAAATGGCTTTGCTATTCTCAGAGAAAATAAGTAGTGATAATATGAGTGTTCGGCTTTTAACTACAATATCTTCTTAAAGAGGATTTTTAAAAGAAATAGTTATCCTATTAAAAAGCCAGTTACCAGAATGTTTTCCAAGGTTACAAGTGGAAGAAGAGAGCATCGTCGATGAGATAATGAAATGAGATTGCTTTTCAGATCTAGTCTCAATCTTAATTTTTAATCAGGTCCCATGAAGCATAATATTGTACCATCAATACCAATGATTATAACAGTAACCTTAGTCCAAGTGCCTTTTCCTTTGAAAAAATTAAAAGTGGAAGTAACTTCCCTCAGTATTCTAGAATATTTTAATACTTTATTTACTGTTGTATCTCTAGAACCTACCACAATGCCCCCACGTAGTGGGCCCTCCACAAACAGTTATTAAATGATTGAATGAGTAGTATGTCAAGCTGTGATGATACTTCTGTAGCTTTAGAGTTTAACGTCATCCACCTCCTCCATGTTCTCCTATGAAAATTATTTTAAAACAATTTAATTTTATAAAAAGTGAGAAATCCCAGTAAGTTTGTATGTTTAATGCATAGTATATTTATCCTTCTGGCATATTGCTGTCCAAGATTTAAAATTACTGGGCAGAAATAAGTCCTCTAGGATATGTTGAAGATATTTAAATTACTGTTTTTAGCTATGACTCTTATAAGCAAAATGTATAAACTTTTCTAAACCATTTTTCAAGGTCGTCCACCAAAACTTACTCAACCTCCACCTCCTCGGAACAGCAATGACCTCAAAAACACTACAGCCCCTCCAAAAATAGCCAAAGGTATGCTTCCTTTAAGTGTGAGAATTTGGTATTCCCTGGATTTGTGGTATAATTTTCCATAAATGTATTAAAAGCATTATAAAATAACTTTGTTTTAATCAAGTTGATGTAGATAAAAGAATAAAGAGTTTTTAAAACTTTTTCCAAGGTCGAGCCCCAAAATTTATTCAACCACTACAACCTCGCAGTAACAATGAGTTTCCTGCACAGACGGAGCAAACAACAGCCACTCCTGATATCAAAAATACTACCGTGACTCCAAGTGTCACCAAAGGTATGCAAATCCAGAAATTAACACCTGTTACATAGTAGCATTTTATATTGTTTGTAACTTAATTTTCAGGAGCATTTCCAGCTTTTAAACCATCAATTTCTTTTCCTCTTAACTGTATTTCTTAAGAACAGAAAAAACTTTTATTCCTCTCCTTGGAAAAGAAACTGATTACATTGCTCTGATTTCTCTTCTCTGGTGTCGTTGTAGAATTGTTCTTTAAATATTTAGAGATGGCTGCTGTATTCTGGGTCTCCTCTTGTGATTTTTTTCCTACCACAGCTAAATACAAGGAGTCTCTATTTCTAGAAATAACTAAAACCATAGCAGGAAACAAACTTTTTCCCCCCCTCTGGTTATATATTAATTTGTTGGATAGGGAATTTTGGTGGCAAAAAGGGAAGAAGGGGGAAAAAAACAGTTTGGTTGAAAACTGACACTTTTTTAAAAATACTGTGAGTTAATATATTCATTAAAAAACTTTGGTCTCTATTTTGAAAATGTTTATGATCGTAATTTTTTCATATTATAAATATAAATGTAGTAGAATTTACTTTCAAATTTTATTACCGATAAATAAGGTATTAACACATACGAAACATAATACTTTGATTTTACTAGTTGTTGAAAAACAAAATTCCAGTTGAATTCGGAAGAAACCATCAGTGTGATAGAGGAATTAATTTCAGTGTTGGCAGATAAAGCATTTTCAGGACAGTGCAGAGAAGAGAAAGCAATTCATTCCGAGTAACTTGTGCCACACAGGACTTTATTCATTCTCCTTTTCTGAAAATGTGCCTGATTCAGATAACTCTCTCCAACTTTCCACGTGTCACTTTTTTCCCCATCTTCTAAGGTATTTTCTAAACAGACCACTTTCTCATGCTGCTAGAAAAGCTAAAGAGAAGCAAGACTTCCTAGAGACAAGAGATCTCAGTGTCCCACAGAACTTCTTACCATTTTGCAGATGATGTCTGTTTGGGCAGAATCCCAGACCACATGTCTGGATGGAAGAACAGTCATTTGAAAGTATTGCTCATCTTAAAGTCTGATTATAGAATCTCAAAATCTCAAGACTAAAACTGTCCTTAAAGCATTTTCTTCCAGAGCTAGCATTCCTGTAAGCTTCAGAAGAATAACAAAGAATGTACAGGTCTTTTCAGTTAAAGACCTCTTGTCTCCTTTTCTCTGGGATGGTGGTGTATAGACTTTTTATTCTTTTTTGAACCTAAGCAGATTTTTTGAAACCTCTGATTAAATCGAACCGTATCTACCTGACCTGATTATTCTCTCTCCAATTTCACAAATTTTAGGGATAAAGCACATTTACCCTTCTGACTTCTTAGTGCTTTCTAGCCCTGAGTCATGATCTCCGTTTTATGCACTTCTCCTTTTCCATTTTTACATCCGGGCTGAGAGCGATGCTAGAGAAAATCATATCATGGTCAGATTTGTGCCACTGTAGCTTCCTGAATCCTCTCTAGATGGGGCCCTCAGCACCAGCTGGGGGTCTTTCTGTTTCTCTGGTTAGCTCTTCTGTCTCTTCTCAGCAGTCACTTCTCCATGTTTTTCAAACCCTTGACTCAGAGATTCTTTACTCACTCTGAGTTACCACTTCAACTTTTCAAAGAAAGTAAAAGCAAGTAGAAGGAAACTCCCTGTTTGTGGAGCCTGTAAACTCACCTGTACCCTCTGTCCACTGCGTGGAAGGAGGGAGTTCCTTGTACTGTCCAAGGCTGATCCACCTGTGCCCTTGTTGCCATCCATCCACCTTCTCAGAGGCCTCAGGTTATTGATTATCCTCTCCCTCTCCGGCATCGGCAGCCTCTTTCTCTATCTCTTGGATACAATCATAAGGGTACCTAAGACGTTGTGGGTCAGGCCCCACAGTGTCTGGCACTTAGCCCCCAGCAGGGATCAGCGGTGGCTGTGTCTGTCCTCATTGCCAAGATGGGGCGGGGGGCGGCGGGTGGCAAACTAGGGAAGAAGCTGATGTCTCAAGCGACCCTAGGCAGACCATTTGCTGTATCTGGGCCTGGGCTTCCTTATCTGTGGAGGGAGATAAGAGGATTAAATGATCTCCTAATTCCTGCAGGCTCAAGCATTGTCCTTTTCTGCCCTGTTGATACAATTGGCTTTTTCATACTTAACACTGTGTTGTTATCTTCCCATATCTATAAATATTTCCCCCATACCCCTAATATACACATTTCCAATTGCTGGATAATATTTTACTATGAGAAAGATATTATGTATTTATTCCCTTTCATTTTTGGGCATTTGGATTATTTCCAGTTTTTCACTCTTGAAGATACAGAAACCTCTTTAAAAATGCATCTTTGAATGCTATCTTAATTTTTTTCTAAGAATAAATTCTAGACATGGAATTGCCAAGTAATCAATTTTTATACATATTGCCCCAAAATGATAAAGTATCCATTTAAAGTCCCATAAAAATAACCGTTTCTTGATATCCTTTCTAACAATTATTCTTTTAAACACTTGCCAATTCGATGAGCAGAAATAGCATCTTATTCTTGCTTTAACTTCTCTTTCTGTGATTACTAGTGAAGCTAACATGTTGAATACTCACTTATGTTTTCTAATCGTATTGCTCATTCATCTCTGCTGATTTTTCTATTGATTGGTTTTGACGTATAAACTCTGTAATATAGAGATGATGGTAACCCTTTATCACATATTCAGAAATATATTTTCCAAGTTTTTCATTGGTCTTTGTTTGTCTTGGTGATTTAAAAAGCAACTATGAAAAGTTTTAAGTGTATACAGAGCTGAAGCAAGTAGTGTGACAGACTTCCACGTTATCTGTGAAGGCTGCTGCCATTTACTCACGCCCATTCTCGTTTCATGAACAATGTGTGTGGCAGTTTTTGAGATAGAAAAGCTTTGAAGGATGATGTGGGTAATCTTCCCACTTTATCTTCATGACTCTGCCTTTGGTGTGTTTTCAGACGTAGCCTTGGCTGCAGTCCTAGTCCCGGTGCTTGTCATGGTGCTCACCACCCTCATCCTCGTAGTAGTGTGTGCTTGGCATTGGAGAAACAGGTGAGTCCCTAACCAGCTCACCTGCTTGGTCCTAGAAGGGGTGTTACCAAGTGTGAAATAAAAACTAAATATACAAGGTGAACTACTGTTCACCTTTTTGAGAAGGGGAGAGTTAAGGTAGTTATTAAAGTCAAAATACATTGGTTTCTCCTTTCCATAAAAAATATGTTCAATAGCATAGTCAGTTAGAGTGCCTTTATTGTATCAAAATCTGCTTTACGTAGTTTGACACATAATAGGTACTTAGTAATATTTCCTGAAAGGAGACACAACTCCTATCTCCCAGGTGTTTGGCAGGGTTGATTGACAAGACATGGAACTGTAATATGGCTGGAGGAGTCCTTTTTGAAGTGCTGGGGAGCACAGATGTGAGAACCATGAGAGTTATCTGAAACCTTTTCTGCAGGAAAGAGTAATCCTCAAGTTTGTTTTGCCTTAACGAGAACGTTGGATTTGCCTGAATGGAGGAAGGTAGAGAACAGCCAGACTCTGTGCTTGAGCGAAGGCACAGAGACATGGAGTGCAGGCAGGGCAGTGAGTGCTCATGTGTGGGCGGGGCACGGGAGAGGGCTGAGGAAGAACCGTGTAGGCGTAGCCTGGGCCTGGGTCCGGAAGGCCTTCAGGGACAGAGGGATTCAGGTTTCATTCGGTAGGTGGGGGTCTCCCTGAGGGGGGTGAGGCAAACGGGTGAGATTATGAGATGAGGCACAACTGGCTGTCTGCGAAGGAAGGAGGAGGGGTCCCGGATGATCGGAAGTTTCTGGCTTGTGCACTTAGACCAGGAGAGATGTCCTGAGTGGAGATGATGGAGCAGGAGGGACAGGTTTGGTGGACGAGAGCGTGACTTCATTTGTTCCCTCAGCTATTTGAGCTCCTGCCTTGTGCTGAGTACTGAGTGTGTGCTGGGATTCCAGTGTGAGCCCCAGAGTTCACAGGCTGGGAAAGGATACAGTGCAGAAGATGGGCAGCGATGGTACCACCATACACTGTGTGCCACCGGAAGAAGTTGAAGAAGCAGCTGGATCCTGGATTCATGCCTGTAGGAAGGCCGTGTGGACAGAGACCCAGCAAGTTACTCTGAGGGCGGGGAAAGTCCAGGGTGCTCTCGGGGAACTGGGTAGAAGCAATAGGAACAGTGAGGACAGCAGCAACAGTTCGTTTTTATACAAAATGAAAGCTGATTTTAGGCATTAGTGTAAGTTCTTCACATGGTTCAATTCATTTAATCCTCAAAACAACCTACAAAGCAGGTACTGTTTTACAGAGGAAGAAGAGACAGCGCATACATGACTTAAATGAGGTCACCCGATCCACACGCAGCAGAGCGGAGTGGTCAGTCGGGCAGTCGAATCTCATCCGCTACAGTCAAAGCCCAGAGGGCGAGGATGGAGAGGCGGGAGGCAAGTCCTGAGATCCGTTTTGGCTGGTGCTTAAAGGACCCTATGGATGTTCAGATTCTCAGGACACAGATGGAAATCAATGGATTTGCATAGTTTGTATTTGAAACTGAAACAGACCTAATAATAACTTTCCCATAAGAACCCACACATCACCTGTGGGTCTTTGATGAGATTCTTTTTATCTACAGACTTAGCCTTTCTTATTCCTTTATCCCTTGAGCAGGAAGTACCTTGGGTAACAGAATAGCTATCTCAGGAGATGGTTGTGTAAAATTTATTGAGAGTCCAAAATTTATGAGTTTTAGCAGTGGCGACTTTGAAATAGAGGGCCCTGCCGGGTAGGTCAACAAATGGAAATGTGTACTCCTGACTAATTATTAACTTCAGTGTTTATCCTGCACTTTCAGAGCTGTCTTACTCGTGAATTCACTCTGTTTGCTAACATGTTTTTTCTCTTTTTTTCCAGAAAGAAAAAAACCGAAGGCACCTACGACTTACCTTACTGGGACCGGGCAGGTAAGCCAGGACTTTGCACCCCCTCCCATCAGAGGGAAGTCCCACCCCTCCAGGTGGCAGTAGTGAAAGAGGAGAGTTGTTTTCAGGCCCACATAAACTCCCCAGCACTTGGGAGAAAAATGATCTTCCTCTAACCTTCTGATCATTTTTACTCTTCTATAGAATCTCTTGTAGCCAATAAGTAATGCAATGAAAAGTAAGGATTTCTTGTAACGCGCCCTCTGTTCCTTTTTCCTGGAAAACCTGTGCGGTTTGTGCCACGTATCTCTTTTTCCTGAGACCAGCTTTCTTTGTGGACTGTGTAAGCCCTGTGTAAAAGCACTGTGGCCTTGGTAACACAGTGCGTGTGTGTCACTGTGTTGTGGGTACTTCCCAAGTAGAGCCTAGCAGTTTGGGTATTGGAAGGTCGGCCGTCTCTGCCGTGATGAGTTGTCGTCTTCTGAACTCTACTCTGGGGGCAGAGGGCAGCAGGCGACTCCAGAGGCCCCCTGCAGGTCTCCTACTTTCTGGTCTTGCTACTGGAACAGTAAAAGGCAGAGTTCACTGCTGTGACTAACGTAGAAAAAAGCAGTGGTGGGGGCAGATTCTGTGCTGCTAACACCCCAAGGTAGATCTTGGGAAGTATTTTTTCAGAAAAACTTATCAAAAACCACCCTACAAGAGACAAACTGTATTTGCCTGCACTTTTATAGGAGTGATTTGCTTCTGTATATGCTTTTGATAGAAATTTCTACCATGTTCTGCATTGCCCTAGATATCCCATCAAAGAAAAAAAAATGAGCTTGAACAGCTTAAGGAATTAGAACAAGAACAAACTAAACCCAAAGCTACCAGAAGGAAAGAAATAATAAAGATAAGAGAGAGAAACAAAATGGAGAATGGGAAAATAGAGGAAATCGGTGAAATCAAATGTTAGTTCTTCAAAAAGATTGACAAAATTGACAAACTTTTAGATGGAATAAGAAAAAAGATTGAAACTACTAAAATCAGAAAAGAAAGTGCAGGCATCACTGCTGATTCTACAGAAATGAAAAGGATTATGAGAGTATTATGAACAGTCGTATGCCAAAAAATTGAATGAACTAGGTGAAATTGACAAATTTCCAGAAATATAAAACCTACCAAGACTAAATCACAAAGAAATAGAAAATCTGAATTGACTTGTATATAACTACTAAAGAGATTGAGTCAATAATCAAAAATCTCTCAAAAAAGAAAAATCCTACCAAACGCTTAAAGGAGAATTAAGCCTTAAAAGATTCCACCAAAAAAAAAAAAAGCTGTTAGGACCAATAACTGAGCCAACTCTCAGGATACAAAGTCAACACACCTTTTACCTCCTTGGTTAAATGAACTTCTAAGTATTAACATTAGTTGCATTTCTGTACACAAACTGAACAATCTGAAAAGGAAATTATAAAAAGTTTCACTTACATTTGCATCAAAAAGAATAAAATACTTAGTTCATTTAACCAAGGAGGTAAAAGAGTTGTACAATGCAAACTATAAACATTGCTAAAGAAATTTTAAAAAGACTTAAATGAAAACATACCCTGTGTTCGTGGATTGAAAACTTAATATTGTTAACATGCCAGTACTACCCAAAGTAATCTATAGATTCAATAGCAATCCCTATCAAAACTCCTGTGATATTTTTTGTACAAACAGAAAAATCCATTCTAAAATTCATATAGAATTTTAAGGGACTCCAAATAGCCAAGGCAGTCTTGGAAAAGAAGAATAAAACTAGAAGATTTCATACATCCTGATTTCAGAATTTACTGCAAAGTTAATCAAAGCAGTGTGGTATTGGCATAAATACACACCAGTGGAATGGAGAGCCCAGAAATAAATGCTCCTAAATAGGGACAAATGATTTTTGGCAAGGGTGCCAAGACCATTGGGGAAATGACAGTCTTTCCAACAAATGGTGCTAGGAACATTGGATGTCCACATGTAAAAGAATGAAGTAGGACTCCTACTTAACACCCATTTGTAAAAATAAACTCAAAAGTGGATGAAAGACCAAAATGTAATATCTTAAACAATAAAACTTGTGGAAAAAAAAACACAGGACAAAAACTTGATGACAGTGGACTTGGCAATGGCTTCTTAGCTATGACAGCAAATGCACAATTTAACAAAAGAAGAAATAAAATAGACTTCATGGACATTTAAAAATTTTGTGTGTCAGAATATACTATCCAGAGAGTAAAAAGGCAACGCATAGAATGGGAGAAAGCATTTACAAATCATGTATCTGCTAAAGGATTCATACCCAGAATATTTAGAGAACTTCTAAAACACAGCAAAAAAACAATTCACAAATGGACAAAGGACTTGAGTAGACTTTTCTCCAAAGAATATATACAAATGGCCAATAAGCACATGAAAAAATGCTCAATATCACTAATCTTTAGGGAAATGAAAACTGAGATACCACCTCACACCCATGAGGTGTCTCCTATCAAAACACAGAACAGTAAGAGTTGATGAGGATGTGGAGAAATTAGAATGTTTGTGTACTGTTGATGGGACTGTAAAATGGTTCGGTGCTGTGGAAAACACTATGGCTGTTCCTGATAAATGAAAAATAATTACCGTATGATCCAACAGTTCCACCCAACAGAATTAAAAGCAGGGTCTCAAAGAGCTATTTGTACGTCAGTTTTCATTGCAAAGTTATTCACAACAGTTAAAATGTGGAAGCCACCCAAGTGACCCATCAGCTGATGAATGGAAAAGCAAAATGTGTTGTATAAGTGCAATGGAATATTATTTAGCCTTAAAAAGGAAAGATTTTCCGTAATATGCTACAAGATGGATGATCCTTGAGGACATATGCTAAGCAAAATAAGCCAGTCACAAATAGACAAATACCATATGATTCCACTTAAATGAAGTACTTAATCAAAATCATAAAGCCAGTAAAGTGGTGGTTGCCATTGGTGAGGGGAATGAAGAATGGGGAGTTACTGTTTCATGGGGATGGAGTTTTAGTTTTACAAGATGGAAAGTTACAGAGATAGATGGTAGTGATAGTTGCACAGCAGTGTGAACGAATTTTAAGTCACCTGACCTACACTTAAAAATGCTTAGGATGGTAAATTTTATGTAATGTGTATTTTACCACAAAAAAAAAAGAGATTGAACATAGAGGCTAGTTTGTACTAGTGTGTTAGAGAAATGGCTTAATAAATAAATAAAATCTTTAAAAAAAAAAAAAGAGCGCCTGGGTGGCTCAGTTGGTTAAGCGACTGCCTTCGGCTCAGGTCATGATCCTGGGGTCCTGGGATCGAGTCCCACATCGGGCTCCCGGCTCAGCGGGGAGCCTGCTTCTCCCTCTGACCCTCTCCCCTCTCATGCTGTTTCTCTCTCACTCGCTGTCTAATAAATAAATAAAATCTTTAAAAAAAAGAGAAATGGCTTAAATGCAACAGGATTTCTCCCGTAAACAATGTCATCATTTCAGGCCTAGGGTTTTATTTAATGGTCTTTCTGTCTTGCTTACAATCACCATGAAGGTTGGTGGAAAGGAATGAAGCAATTTCTCCCTGCCAAATCAGTGGAACACGAGGAAACCCCTGTTCGCTACAGCAGCAGTGAAGTTAATCACTTGAGTCCAAGAGAAGTTACCACGGTGCTGCAGACGGATTCTGCAGGTAACCATGTGCAGCCTTCGCCACAGAGTGGAGGAAGAAACTGCCGCACTAGGCTGGAAATTTGGGATTTGGGATTTAGAGTGTCTTTTCTCTTTTTCAAATGTAAGAAATGAACGGTTTTCTTGAGGTAGAACTACTTTTTAAAAGGATGACCTTGAGAGAGTCATTTCTGCACCTTAGATGCGTACTCCTATTTTATGGAGAACATTTCAAAAAGCTCTGGGCATTTTTATCTGTTTACCTGGAGTTTTCTTTGAGTGTGAAGAATAGGAAAGCCGGAGCGAGCCTTACAGTATTTATCCTATTAACTTAGTACATATTTATTTTAAACACTGTCCTGTTTGAGAATATTCTAATAATGGAATGGGTTTTTTTTTTTTCCCCAGTGATACACTATTTATAAATCTGAAGATCATATACATTCTTTGTAAAATTTCATGAATGAGGCTCTATGGCATAGTAACTTCTTAGGAGATGCAAGATAACATGTTTAATTTTTTTAAGTTGGTTCAGGTAGAGAAATCCATAGGTCTGTATTGATAGGAACCAAAGTGCCATAAAGAAGTGTGTTTTGGGTGTCGGGCTATGGCTGATCCCTGTGTGAATGAGGTGACTTTTCTGTCGTTGGTTCTGTGATATCCACAGAGTATGCACAACCACTTGTGGGAGGAATTGTTGGCACCCTTCATCAGAGATCCACCTTTAAACCAGAAGAAGGGAAAGAAGCAAGTTATGCTGACCTAGATCCTTACAACTCCCCGGTCCAAGAAGTCTACCATGCTTATGCCGAACCACTGCCGATTACCGGGCCCGAATATGCAACCCCAATCATCATGGATATGTCTGGGCACCCCCCAGCTTCAGTTGGTCTTCCCTCAACGTCCACTTTCAAAGCTACAGGGAACCAGCCTCCCCCTGTGGTGGGAGCCTACAACACTCTTCTCTCCAGGACCGACAGCTGCTCGTCCGCCCGCGCCCAGTATGACACCCCAAAAGGTGGGAAACCAGGTGCCAGTGCCCCAGGCGAACTGGTGTACCAGGTGCCACACAGCACACAGGAGGCCTCAGGGGCCGGGGGGGATGGTGAATGTGATGGTTTTAAAGAGACTCTTTGAAGGGGATGCTGCTTGTTATAGAGCATGGTTGTAAAGCACATGGCCTTTCTTGTGTGTTAGTGGTAGTAATGTAGAGAATGTATTACCTGTCTGTCACAGCTGCGGTTGGGGAAAACGGGAGGACCGAGGTACAGGGAACTGCTAATCTTGCCATCTTGCTTTAAGAGCGTTACTGTGGCAGTGACGGCTTGCCTGTTAAATTTCAAACATCCTGTTTGTTACTACTGTAAAACACGATTTTTTAATACAGAAAAAGCTCCCTACTATGCACTTCAAAGAAATTAAAAATCACTGAGAGTATTTATTACCAATGCTGCAGGTACATTGATGAACTCGAGGTGGCTCTGTACGCCTGACTGGCAATAACGCGTGGTACTGTTCTTGAAATGTCTAATGGCTTGAAATGTTGCTCTTTGTGAAAGGTGGGTACTGTCATGAGTTCTTTCTCTTCTATTCCTATATTCCCTATGGACTTTTTTCAAAACTTGGTGATAGAATCATCGTTTTGGTCGCAGCCGTACTTACCTATCTTTCCTTAGGAAGGTCTAAGTGGGAAACTGACTTGTGAAGGGCGGGGTCGTGGATTTTTCACTTTTTGACACTCTGAAGAGCTTTCACACTTCATGGTACGTGACCTGGTTTCATCCCTGCTTGTTCTGTCTGGGGCCAGCCCCGTTCTTGTGTTTATAAACTGTTTTGAATTTTTTTAGTGAGTGATGCTTGCTCCATAGCCTCATGAATCCTGTAATTGTAAAAAGCTCTCACAGAGATTCTCTCCCTGCCCCCGACTTTATTTGCAACGGGATTGGTCCTAGGCCAGTTGTGAGGGCATCTGAGTGAACACTGTAGACAGGAGTCCTTATGTTTACCACAGTGAAAGGCAGAATCATTCCTCAGAAGTCATATAAATTACCCTAAAACAAAAAACCAAAAAAATGGATTTGCCCTCTTTGATTTAATATATAGAGATGTTTCTCTGAATCTGAAGTTATTTTTGGTCAAAAAGTATTTTTATCCACAGTAAAATACTGAAAGAAGTAGAAGCCAGCATGAATTCCTCAGCTCTGTGTCGTAGGAGTTGTGACAGTCCTTTACCACATGCCTATGGAACAGATGTTCTAGCATCCTAGCAGGTGAATATTGACGTCTGTTTTTGATATTTCCAGGCAACTTCTTTGTCACCATTTGCCCAGAACTAGTTTTAATGGGTGAAATAAAAATCATCTAATTTATTAGCCCATAGCGTAAGAATCTTTAAAAATCTTTGGCAAGATGAGAAGCTGGCCCTATGTTTAAAACATATAATCTCCCATCAGGTTCTAGCCATTTCTTGATTGTTTCCAGAATTTGCTAGATGTGAGAAAACACAGTGTTCATTTTGCTTGTTTCCAGGTATATCAGTATTCTACAGTATTGCTTCAAAAACAGAATTATTTCTGCAGCCTCTCTGCCGTCTGGTATTATTCTTGTTGGTGTTACCTTCATTTGCTTTTGCTTTTCCAGACAAACTTTGAGGCATAATTTTATTCATTGAAAAAATATATTGTTTCCAAACATTTGAAACAAAAAGCACAGATGTTGAACTTTATTAAGACATGAATGTGTAAAGCACATGTATTAATGCAGTCATCCCCTTTCAGGTGGGAAGAGAGTAAACCAATTTATTTTTTTATTTATCCTCAGTACACAATGAATATACTTCTCCAATCACATGCCTGTTTGAGAAGCTTTAAGAGAAACGATCTCATTTTCCCAAAGATGCTTGTTTTTATTTAATTTTGTGCACCTGATTTTCCCTTGGAACTTTTTTTTGAGAGGCAAATGTTTTCTTCTTAAGTGATGCATGTTTTTGCCACTGTGCGGTCCTTGAACTACCAATGATTTTTACAAAATGGTTTTTATTGCTTTTGTATATTTTACTTTCCAAATGAAGAGCTGAGCCTGATACAAAGGGTTATTCTGATTTTATACTTTTAGTTCATTTGTTTTCATATTAGAGTTTTGTTTTGGGTTTTAACTACATTTATATGTCTGATGCAGCTGTGGAGACAATCAACTGAAAATGTGAAAGTAACTTTTTTTTCGTTACTAAATTCCCTTGAATTTTTATTCTTTGCTTGAAACATGTTAAAGACTTAAGTCAGTCTGGTTTATTGGATTTTTTTTTCCTGTTAACACAATGATAAAAATCGATTCAGTGGTACAGCAAGTGTGGCCCCTACAGGTTTTCATAAAGTCACACCAACTTCACTGTTACCTGATCTTAGGAACCAGCACAGTTAAAGATATTGTGAATGCTGATTTATATTTTATTAAAAGCTGTAACACTAAATAGATCCTATTGTATGTGCAGGGTCTAGTCCAGTTATTTAAATTCATGTTTCACTATTTGCACTTTGCATTGAACAATGGGTTTATCCGCTGATGAAATGGTTTGTGTAGAGAATTTATACAGCAGTTGAAACTATGACGTCATGTGCACTCTTGTCCTCCCCTGCCCCCGTAGAAAATGCACTCATCTAAAATTCTATGAAAGGTGAGAAAGCTTGAACTTCTTTGCCTTGGCCCCACATTGACACCTGGAGAGCATAAGGGCTATGGAAACACCAGGTCAGAGGACAGAACTAAGATTGTGGGACAAAAACTTTTCAAACCCTTTTAAGAGAAATCTGTTAAGCTCTAGCTTTAAAAAAAAACTGCCTTTTAGCTCTGCTTTTCTGTTCTGAACTTGAAGTCCCTAAACTGCAAAATCTAGTAAGTGTTGGATGGCTATTAAAATACTTTTTAGTTCAACTGTGGCACCAATTATTTACTCCAATTTGTGACTAGTTTTTTGGGGTTTTTTTGGCACTGGGAAAGGTGGAAACAAAACATTGAAATACATATTGGAAATAAAAATGGTTTGAGGGTCAGTGATATTCTCCCAGAATGTACTTTTCTTACCTCGGCATGTACTGTAGTCACTCAGTATTTGTATATGTTGCTAGAATTTAGATTGTATAAATAGTGAGATCTTAATGTGTCATGTGTTTTTAATAAATTGTATATATGTGTCTTGCTGAGAATTTCCTTTGGCTTATATAAAACCACGTTGAAGTTTCTATAGCCTTTTCTCATACTACACAAAATGCCAGATTCCTCAGTTTTAGCATCGCTCAGAAATTGTACTGCCATTATTCTAGACGTTACAGTAACATTTGAAAATGCTACCAGGGTTTTTTTTACTTTTACTCCAGCCTGGACCATCCGTTTTTGAAGCCTAAATTAGTTCACAAACTGCATTTTGTGTGGTAAACTCTGGCTGTGTGGTAGGAGGGAAGGGTCACGCAAACACCCGTCTTTTCCACCTCAGAGTTATTAGAGGAATCCAGTGAAACCACAGTACTGTGCTAACAGAACACAGTCCGTACTTAATGTCCAGATCTGGCTTAAATCAACCCGGAGATTTTCCCCCCTTACACTGCGTTTGACATACTCTTTAGAGAGGCAGGTTGGTTTCGGGTAACACCAGCCATGTCTCCCAATGATAATTATTGTTCAAAAGATAATTCTTTCAACTCTTACCTCTTCTGAGAACTTTTAATTCCATCCCTCTTGTAATTCCCTTCTCTTCCTTTTTCCCTCCCCATAGCCCTAGGCTGTATTAAATGAGAAGGGTCACTAGCTCACATTTGTTCGAAAGGTTGGTTTTGACTTGTTTGCATCCAGTAGGACTCTTCTCTGATGCACCCTAGGCAGCCAGGTAAGCCTTCCCTTTGAAGAACTGACGTTGTTCATGAAATTTCCATTTAAATCCAAAAAACAGCTTGAGGAGTCTCAAGGATTTATCTTCATTTTTCCTAATTCAAATAGTAAACTTTCCAAATTTTAATATATTAAGCCAGGCAGAAAATTTAAGAATGGTCTCCTTGAGCTTGCCTAGCTCAGCCACTTTGTATGAGTTTTAAAATAATGCAGTCACCAGGCTTTAGTAATTGCATTCTTAGATTATTTACTTGTCCAGAATTTCATGTTTAGCCTATTTCCTTCACCTTAAAAACACCACCTTCCTTCTATCCGATGACTCATTATAATCAGTTCACTTAATTGCAAGACAAAAAAAGCTTAGTGAAAACAGTATAATCTTAGATTTCCATAACCATACCTACTGTTATGTTCAGGGCTGCTTTAAGATTCAAATCTGTTTCCTCAGCTACAACGAAAAGGAACAATCATCTAGCTACATGCCTAAAGTGGTTGCAGTTTGCCGAATCAAGGCACAACCACATGGCCATTCCCCACCAATTTACAGTAGCCAAATGTTGTGTTCAAAACTTGTGGTCAACTAAATAAAGCCCATTATTAGGAAGTCACATCCTCTCAAAAGTCTAAGATGAACTAATTATAAAAAGATGTTTAAAAACACTTTGGAAAACTAACTTGTTTTAAAAACAATGCAATCAAAACTTCTTTCCCTGATATCTTAACTAAGCATATCTTGGTTTTTATAAATTAAATATATTCACAAAAATTAAGCTGGTGGTTATGAATCACCAGGCAGTAAAAGACTTAATATACACAATTTTTGACAAGTGCATCCAACATATTTAAAAATAAACTAAAATTGCCGTATAAAAATAAAACTAATACTGTTAGCGTCTTCTGAGTCTGTAGAGTCAATCTTCAGTCAAGTTGATTACAAAGTTTTTTTCTATAATGTCCTTCAAAAAGAGCTGCTCCGCTGTCACATTGTGATACGCATTCTAGAGAAGAAAAGGAAAAAATCATCTATCCCAGTCTCAAAACATTAACAGCAACAATGGGATACACTGTATCTAAAAAGCTTCTGAATAAAAAACTCAAGTCACAAGTGTACAGGTAGACCTTAAACTTCTGTTACCTTTTTCTTTGCTCATTCTTTTGCCAGTGTTCCCTAAATTTAGCCCGCTGTTTCCCCTTAAATTCTCACATAAAAGCACCCCTTCATATCATTTCCCGCATCTCCTAAATCACGATATGAAACTAGAGACCAAAATTTTAAGTCAAAAGGGGTTGACCACTTTAATAAAAGCAGCACCTGAAATTCATAATAGAAATCAGCCTAAAGAAACAATTGTAAAGCATGGCTAAGGTAGATTTTTTTAAAATAATTCTGTTCTATTGATGGATATCCTAATTTTCCTCAGGAAATTGTTTCAGTGTTCTGTTATTTAGATGGCTAGAAATCCCACAAGTGCTAAAAGATTAGGGCTGAGGAGAAATGATCCTGAAGTCTGTCCCAAGCACCTAACACTTGAACTACTCAAGTGTTTGTCTCACAAGGGGTAGGAGATGAGGTAATATAACAATATGAAGGTCTGACCTGAATAATACCACTTCGGCTTATGGTAGTGTTTGGGGATGATAACCTAAGGGGACTGATTACATAGGATATATCCCTACTTTACAGCAAATCATTCATATTTCCATATTAAAAATGTACAGATAACATTTTAGTCCTATCACTTGTGATATGCCACTAACCTCAGACAATTCCTTCCCATTCAGTTAAGTCTTAAAGATCCTGTCTACCACCACTGATCTCTAATTCAAGAGAAGCATGATCTACTATAAACGTTTGCAACCTTTTTGACCATGAATATTCCCTCATGGAGTGAAAATGTTACAGACCTGCCCCTCTGCTTAACTAAAAAAACACGTTGAAAAGCACAGCAAAAAGTTACATCATCTTCCCAACTCCAAATTTACCTTCATCTTTACTGTGTTTTCAGTGCTCAATCCTCTTATGTAGATGAGTGTCCCTGTTCCATGGCAATGCTTTTAAGTGAATTTGAGATTGTTATCAAGAGCAAGTTGCCTACATGCATATTTAAACAGTGCAAACATGATCTAAGATAAGGCTTGGTGTCTAGAGGGGTTTGATGCTGCTTGATAATAACTATGTCCTATCCCCAAGGGTCTGAGGCCCACAGATTGGAACTGCCTGGATTTGAGTCCCAGTTTCAGTCTTTGGTAGCTTTTGGTAGGGTTAAGCAGCTCTCAAACTCTCAAAACCTGTTCCCTCAGTAAAAACGATAGAAGATACAAGCTTTGCAACTGTAAAGATCAAAGATTATACCCAAGTGTGTATGTATATATTACCTTATTCATCAAAGACATGGTGGCATTCCCATAATAGTGCAAAGGACTCTTGAGGTCAGAAAAGTTGTATTTAAAACCAGCAAGGTGAACTTCATGACATATGTGAAAGGCCAGCGTGATGGCAATAATTCCTGTTGTTGGGTGTTTGGGTTTCTGGGGAGGGAAATGAAAGTTTTTTTAAAACTCAAACAAGATACCAGTTTCCAAAGCATAGTTGGGTGACCTCATCTTATAAAACTGGGACTTCTGAACAGGTTATCAGGTGAGAAATATCTAAGTTAAACCCTCATCGTGTCTAAGGCCCAAGCCCCAGTTAATTTCCTAACTCTGAAAAGCATATAAATGTGACTGAAATCTTAGAAAATCTTTCAAATAAAACTTAACTGCTGTATTAGCCCAGAGGACAAATATCAAACGAAACACTGAGGCGCAGGGAAAAGGATGCTGCTGCCTCATTTTATAAAACATGCTGAGTCAGGCTTCCTGTGCAAACAGCAGAGCCTGCAAATTTTGAATCCATACACGAAACGTAAGGACAGGTTAGTTCACTAATGGATGGTAAGAGTCTTCACATAAGCCTTAAAATAGATCTCTTTTACCACCCTAATAACTTAACCAGCTCTAGGGAAAGACTAATCAATTAACTTCAGTGGCAAATAGTAAGATTCTGACTTCTATAGAAAATAAAAATTCCAGATGTATACAGAGTAATGTCACAGTCTCCAATGGATCATTATCAATTTAAAAACCAAAAAGGAAAGAAACCAAGCATCCCTTTCACATATACATATCTCCTGAAAATGCAGTAACAGATGACTGACAGGATCTTCATTCAGTTTTAATTCTCACCGGGATGGCCTCCAAAGGTAAAAACAAAATACATCTTAAACTTTTTAACACAGCCGTCTAAGGAGATTTCCTTTCATTAAGGTAAGACTTACAGATTACATGGAATGACACATTATGATTTTGAGGAGGAGAATAAAAATCTAAGCAGCACAATAATATCAAATAAACTTCAGGAGGCAAGCTCATCTGAAAACTTAAGTGCCCTTTGCATAAGCTTTTCTTTACCCCATGCCCTACTGTGAATACCATAAGCCTTTGCCGTCTCCCAGAAAGGGAAATGAGTGGTTGGGTTAAAAACCTGGGAGTCATTCAACCTCATTGATCCCATCACTTTTTCCCTCTTCTGTCCGTCCCCTTCATGTCCTCCGCTTCCTTTCTTCATGCCTTAAAGGACTTCATCCATCAGTATAATCCTTCCATTTTCTGCACCTCTCACCCACAGAAATAGATCATCACCTGCCAGAATCTTAACCCTGGCTCAGCCCACACCCAAGCAGCAGAACAAGCCAAGAGAAGAACATACGTGCCCGGGTACACACATTCATGGCTAAAGTCTCAAGTAGGTGTTCAGTATTCCCCCACCCAGTAAATTTCCATTCCTACTCTCCGAGAGGACAGTTTTATACCTTTACATCCAACAGCCTCAGCCTCTGTCCCACTTCAAACTGCCCATTTAATCCTTATTTCACTAACAAACCGAGAAGAGCTATACCAGCTTCCCAACTCCCAATCTACCTTCATCTTGACCTGTACTTTCAGCGCTCACTCTTACATGGATGCGATGTCCCTGTCCCTACCTATGGCCAACCTCTCCCCTCGGGCACTCTTTCCATCTCTTCTCTCTCACCAGATCTGATTCTAACAATGACCCACTGCTCTCATCATTTCCTTCTGTTGAATCGTTCTCTTCATCATATAAATATGGCATCAGTCTTTAAAACACAACCACGCAAGCAACCTTCCTTGATCCCGTGTCTTTCAACCATTTCTCTGCCCTCTTTTCTAACAAAACTCCATTAAAAATTTGCCTCCACTTGCTCATGTCCCATGTTCTTTTTAACCTAATTCAAGCAGGCTTTCTAACTTCTTTTTTTTTTTCCTTATCCACATCATCAGTATGACTTCACATTTCCAGAACCAGGCTTTATTCTTTGTGCTCAGACTCTGGATAGCATCCTACATAACAGACCTCTCTGAAATACTGCTGTGTCCTTAATTTGGCTTCTGGGATGCCATGTTCTACTGGAATTTTAATCTAGTTACAACTAGTTTTAGCATCATCTTTAAGATCAGGGTCTTCCTATTCTTTTTTTTTTTTAAGATTTTATTTATTTATTTGAGAGAGAGAGAATGAGAGATAGAGAGCATGAGAGGGAAGAGGGTCAGAGGGAGAAGCAGACTCCCTGCCGAGCAGGAAGCCCGATGTGGGACTCGATCCCGGGACTCCAGGATCATGACCTGAGCTGAAAGCAGTCACTTAACCAACTGAGCCACCCAGGCGCCCCTGGGGTCTTCCTATTCTTTTGGAGATACTACCTAAAGCAAAAAACAAAGGTTGTATCTGATCTTACCTCACTTAGGAAATAAATTCAACATTCAGAAGCTGTCTTTTCCCCCTCAAAATTACTAAGAAATTACTAAGAAGTTGACCTTTCCTCTCAAAATTCCTAAGAAATAAGGCTTAAGTTTAAAACATTTATGCATTTTGACTTGGGAATTCATCTTCTAGGAGTCTATCCTACAGAAATCATACAAGTGGGCCGAAAAGCCCTATAATCACATGCATTTCTAGATAGGAAAAAAGCTGGATACAAACGGAAAGGTCTATAAATAGGGGAATAGCTAAATGGAAGGGGAAATGGCAGAAAAAAAAATATATATATACACACTTGAGATATATATATATATATTTTTATAAGTTGTTTCATTATAAGCATTAGAATCTAATTATTCTAAATTTTTATCATACCAAAAAAAAAAAGATACATGATGTGTGTTTATTTTGTTGGGTTTTCCCTGATTACTAAAAAGGGAAACCTCATTTCAGCTGAGCTCTTACGTCACACAGTTTCTAAAGCTTCAAATGAAAAACCAATCCGTGCCACTGGGTCCAGAGGATACTGTCTTCTAGGGAATGTAAACAAAAGGGCTACAAGAGTCAAAGTCGGGGAGACTCCTTTTAATTAAAGAATTTGGGGTTTCAACCATGTCTCCTCTATGACCTTAGAAATAAATACTTCTGAACTACCCTGCCCTTCCTCACCTTTCTTCTGGCTTTCCTGTGATATTTTTATCAGAGTGCTTGAGACAGTTCTTTTTAGCCTCAGTAGCCATGTGGTTGTCCAGAAGCCGTCCTGCTACTCTGAGCAGAGCCTGCCCAGCCACGCCCCCACCCCCGTCGCACCCTCCTCATCACAGAACACTGAAGACGAGGTCATGAGAAATGAGTTGCTGGGGCATGCAGGAGGAGACCCCAGAAGGGCTCCGCAAGGGCAGAAAAAAAACACTCCACCTAAGGTTTTTTCCTTCCTTGCAATCTGAAAAACATAAACATAATACCCACAGATACCTGATTCACTACCTCGGATGTGGCCTTCAGAAGCCACCTTGCGAGTCATGGTTCTCAACCTTTCTGAGAACCCTAGGATCTCTCCACCCTACCCTAGCCAGATCTTTAGTTTGTAACTGTGCAAAGAAAAATACGTACCTGATTTTTGGGAAATACTTTTGGGAAGTGAAGCAGTTCATAAGCTGCCATTCTGATAATGAAAGGATCTAATATTCTGATTTGATAAGGTTTGTAGACCAAGTTTAAGGCTGGTTTCTTCCAAAAACCATTAGTGTTCTGAAATAAAAAAAAAAAAAAGAACACAGAAATTAGAACATTGTGGTTGTTTTTTTAATGAAAATTTTTTTAATAAAAAAAAAACTAAAGGTAATCAGAAGGCAGATCAATGTTGCCAACTTACTATTTTGCCACCCGTCAGCAGTTCCCACAGCCACTTTAAATCAAGCGGCTTAAAAACAGTGAGAACTGCCGTAGTATTAGGATCATTGTGATTGGGATCTGAAAAAACAGATTCTGGATAAAAGAGTCGGAAGGTTGTCCGTCTCCCAACTTCCTCTTCATGTCCTAAAACAGGACCATTATTCATTCTGTGGGGAGTAAAACACACAAAATATGTAGACCAAGTGCAGTATGAGCCAATTCCATCCCAAGTTTCAGAGCTTTCAGAGCAGGACAGACAGCTGCGGCCACGGGCCCCGTGCGTAAAGCTACAGGGCAACAGATTTTTTTTTTAATGCATAACAGCCAAGGAAATAATTCCCTTTCGTGAAATGGCTGCTTGATCAAAGGCAGAAATGTTCATCTGGATTTGAACATTAATTGTGGGGCCACTGATAATTCAGTCCTACCTCCAGGAAAACCGAAGACTCAATAAAACAAAAATCGAACAAAGAACCAAAGACTACTAGAGTTAAGAGAGACCTTGGAGGACATCCAGAGAAAACCCCTTGGATAAAGGCCCTGCAGTCCAGAGAGAGAAAGTTACTTGCCCAAGGTTACACAGTCATGTAGCACATGGGCTGACAAACAAGAATCACTCTGAAGGTGATCTGAAGACCCATCAAAATTGTTGAGCTCTGTAATACAGTGATAATATAAAATTGCCATATTATACCCACACACAACCAAATAACTGTTATTGCTAGAGTGAACTAAAGAACCGCAAAGGATCTGCTGTTGGGTTTGCATATGCTCAGTGCCAAAGTTAGACATGCACTATTTATGCATACACTATGAAGGCATGCTATTAAAAGGAATGCTTTGTTTCCAAAACAGTGTCCCCCTGGGAGGATAAATACTGTTTCACCCTTTGCTACTGACTCCATGTAACGTAAGACAGCCTTAGCACTTGAAATGACTTTCATAAATGTTGTACCCATGGCATTCTCCCACAAGGGTTTGCTGTGGTGCTGGATGATCAAATGTTTAGACAATTATAGGTAAGGAAATTCATGTTTCAAAAACTCATGTGGATAAAATTTCACAGCTTCCTCAAAATGGACAGTGAACAGAAAATAAGGTGACCTCACTATGCAGAAGCTCTTGGCAGCTCGTAACCCAGCAAAACCCCCAAGGACTGCCAGGTCATCCTAACGCACTGCCCCACTCTTCAAAAGACTATTCATAGCCATTCCCAACACACACAACACAGGATGACCTTACTTCAACCTCTCAACGAGAAAATAGAGCTAGAAATGTCATCTTCCCTCCACTCCATCTGTGGGACTCTTGGTCGCCATAACTGCAATCCCAGTTTTCCTTTCCATTACAGAGGGCCAACCACACTTGCACTCTGGACGCCCATCCCATCTTGCTACCACACCAGTCTCTTTGTTCATTTCCATCAGTTTACCAACATGCTCTAGAATCTCCTATCTTTATAAAAGGAACAACAACAAAAAAAAGCCTCCTCTGATTCCATAACTATCTCCAGCTACCATCTCATTTCTCGACTCCCCAGCAAAACTTCTCAAGAGAATTGCCTACACTGGTTTCTCACTTTCTCACCTGTCATTCGCTCCTCAAACCACTCTGGTTGGGCCACTCCCCATATCATGTCTCCAAGTCTGCTTTTGTCAAGAGTATGAGTGAGCTTCAGGCTGCCAGTCCAATGGTGAACTCTGTCCTATATCTTGCATGACCTCTCACCAGCTGGTCATGGGTGACCCTTCTCCTCTCCTTTAAAACACTTCCTACCTCACTGGTGGATCCTCTTCCATCTCTTTTACTCTTTTATTTCTTTTTTGCTCAACCTCCAAGTATAGAGTATCTCAAGACTCGGTCCTAAGCCCTCTTCTGTGTTTCTCCCTAGGAAATCTTGCCCAGACCATGGTGTAAATATAGCTTACAGGCTGTTTACCATCAAGCCTTTAACCTGTTTAACCAAATGCCTACTTGACTTACCATTGCAAATCTAGTAAGCATCTCAAATCTAACACGTTCCCACGGAAATCTTGATTCTCCTCTAAACGTCTTCCTACCCTAGTCTTCCCCCCAACTCAATAGTGGTACCTCTTTCCAGGCAATCTCTCCGGCTGAAAACCCAGGAAGAGGTATGTGGTTCCTTTATTCCCATCTCTCCTCACACCTAACACATCAACAAATCCCGATAACCCTACCTCTAAGACATGTCTCAGTCTATCCACTTACATCCTTCTCTGTCAGGACAATCCTGTTCCAAGCCACCATCACCTGCCTGAACATAGCCACCTGACTGGCCTCTTTATTTCTACCCTTGTCCCTCATATCCCACTGTCCATGCCACAGCCAAGGTATTTTAAAAACATAGCCAGATCAGATTCCTCTCTCACTTAAAAATCTTCAGAAGTTTCCTGTTGTACTTAAAATAAAATCCCAGCTCTAATCTCAGTTCACACAGTCCTCTACAACCTGCCCCCCCTTGCCTTCCTCTTTGGCTTGCGATTGTACCACTCTCCCTGAGCCTGCTGCCCGACTCCCTCACTGGTCTTCTTGCTAGTCTTCTCAAACCCAGGATCATGTCCTCCCCAGGACCTGCGCTAAACATTCTTTCTGCCTGGATTGCTCTTCCCTAGTCTTCATATGGCTGGTACCATAACGGTCACGTAGGTCTGTCTTAGAGGTCTTCTCCTCAGAGTGGTCATCCATTCTAAAGTAGCTATTCAATCATTGGCTGTCACATATGTTTTAACTGTTTGTACGGCATTTATTATTGTATTTCCTTATTTATTTAATTACTGTTTTCTTCCCTTCATTACAATGTAAGCCCCATGGGGAGCAAAAACATTATTCTTATTCACTGCTATATGCCCTGGAGCTGGAACTGTGCCTGGCATATTAAGGAGACTTCACAAATATTTGCTAAGTGAATGACCTGGAAATTTAGGCCTACTCTAGTCAATGACGACTGAGAGACCGGTTGTGTTAATGTACTTAAATATATCTAAGCAACTCGTCTTCCTTTTAAACACAGTCATACTAAAATAGAAAATCGTATTCCTTTGAAACAACTCCAGGTTAGCAAATAGGAAATATATTTACCTTATTATTACATCATAGGAGTCAATTTTTTCTCCTAATGTCTTATTCTTCAAAACTCCTCCATTACCAACCACCACGCACTTTTTACATGGCACGCTGTTGGGCAAACAGACAAGTGAGAGGTTGAGACATCTTTCATGTAACTGGGTGATTCCAAGAATTTGCTCATACTTTCCAGAACCCAGTGCCAAATTTCACTTGTTGCACAAGTAGAAGAGGAACCAACTGTAAATTACAGGTCTAGGGATATATTAGAAAGATACAGGATTCAAGAAATAGCATTCCATAGGAAGTATATGATTGTTAGCAACTAACAGGTGCTTATGAGTCCATACACATTCCCTCATTTGATTCTCATAACCATCTGCTGAGATGGGTAAGCCCGATATTTCCATTTTACAAACGAAGAAGGCATTCAGAGAAGTGCTGGTTAACATTTCAAAGTCGTACTCCCAAGAGGCAGAATCAGGATTCGCATCCAGACCCTTGAAGGACAAAAACACCACTTGGCCTACGATTCTTCATGTTAATATTGATACAAGTGTGTTTACATGACATAGCTATACATTTTTTCCCCAGCGTTTCTCACTCCCTGAGAATCCTGATTCTAGCTCTGGGTCATTGCTGCATCTTATTGATGTGGAGACAGTCTGGAATCTGGTGGGGAAGGTGTATCTTTCCTGGACCTGCCCACGAGCACTTCAATTCCCCCAACATGCTCTGTTTCTTGGAGCTTAACCAATATAAACTAAAAGTTCATGCTGTGTTCCTAGCAGAGAGCTTTCAAGTAGATGATGAAGTGGGACTTCCTGTTGCTGGCTGGGATCAGCCTAGAACCACGCACTGTGTACCATCAGCTCTCAGCAAACCCAACCTGGCCCATCTATCTCCAGGCTCTGACCGCCTCCCGGCCAGGCCTTGAAAAATGACAATACAGATCACATCCTTCTCCTTTAGGGGACAAGACTACAGAGGGGAAGCCTGTTGAGACTGTCCTTCCAAGGCCTTCATGACATGAAAGTATAAAGAAAAAAAACTGTTTCTCTAAAAACCATAAATAAAGCAGACCGGATGAACTCTAGACCTTAAGGCTCTTAGGAAATTAATGAGTAGCAAAACTGCACAAATACTATAGAACGTGTAAACTTGGACGCCTGCTTGGCCCAATTGGAACAGCATGTGGCTCTTGACTTCGGGCCATGAGTTCAAGCCCCACACTGGGTGTAGAGATTACTTAAATAAACAAATAATTGTAGGGAATGCAAGCATACAGGAATAATTAAAAAGAGCCAAGCACTGGCCTTGTCAGGTTAAGAAGAGACAATGTACACATTGTATGCATAGACACATAAGTTGACCTTTCCTCATTAGAATTTGTTTAGCTCACCTATTTGGTAAGCTTTTAATACTGGAAAACACTTTTTTACACATTTTAATTTGGGGCTTTTAGCTCCCCACTTAACGAGTCATATCAAAACCAGTGTCTACTTTGTTACAAAAACAAGAAGATCCAGAGTGTCACAGGTGTCAGAGACTGGGTTGGGGGGACATTGTCCAGGTACTCCTTGATGATGTACCCCCCCAAAACTCCTATCATGGACAGATCACAATATGCTCTAAATTCCAGGAAGGAAACTCTCAGTGGTGCTCTGCTCTTTGACCTCTGTGACCAGGTGGCACGGAGAAGATGGGAACAGTGGCGAACACATTCCAAACCCTTCCCTCTCTGGGTATGTTGTCACCAGACCCATCTTATGAATACTATCTAACAGGGCCCTTCTCATCCGCATAGCTTGCTTGACTCTTCCTTCCAGAACCCTGGGACCAGTTTAATGCAAATCAGAGGCTCAACCTCTTGAAGCTGGCTCCCACCTCCCCGCTGAGCAAGGCTGTGGGCACTGGGGAAGGGGTGGCTGGGAATGGAGGATCAGAGTAACAGCTCTGTTACTACTGAACCTGCATGGAGCTGGGGGAGAAATAACCATCATTATGGCACCAGATTAACCTCCTCCCCTATGACTGGAGGCCACTTTCTATTCCCAGGGGCCCCCGGGGCTACAGCATCTGTTCTGGCCTGGGATATCCAGCCTGACACCAGGCTGCCTGACCAACATCATCAAACATACCAGGCTAGATAGGAACTCACACCACCACTGTGTCTCCAGAGTTTCTAACCTGGAGCCCCAACAAAGGACCCCATACCCACAAGCCTCATTTCTGAAGATGACCCAGAAAGAGGTAGCTCAGCTCACTCCCAGACACAACCAGTTCCATAATCCCTGCTCAGCAATAAACCCATAGGCTGAAACTTCATGCTTGCAGAAACTTCCCCTCAGTGTTACTTTTATCACACTGGATTACAGCTGGTCATCAAGCCCCAGATCACATGTGGCCAAAAGAGTATTGTGATAAGAGAAGCAATCATCTGTCATACGAATAGGCCACACTCCTGGTCCCCACTCAGGCTCAAGGTCCTGGACCTCCCTCTCACAGATCCTACCAAGCCTTCCGGTCAAGGGAAAAGGGAGTTGAGGTTTAGAGCCAGATCTTTACTACAAGAGCCCCGAGGATCAGCCACAGAGAGAAGGTCGTTCCTTGTATGTACGCTGTACAGCCTCCTGTTCATCGTCCCAGGAGGTTCAAGGACTTGGGAAAAATGGAAAAAAATCTTAGAGATACTGCCTCACTCAAGGGGACTCCAATTCTAAAGACACTTTACAGCTGAAGGGTCACCACATTTTTAGAAATTGCACTATTTTCTTCTCTGTGAGCTTTGTAGGGGGCAGCTGGAGGGAAGGCCCTTTGTCATAGAAAAAGTTCACCAATACCCCTGAAGAGAAATCTTGTCAGTGAATTTCACTTCTCCTCCTGGTAAGGGATATTGCAAAGACCCACACATTTTTCTGAGGATCATATATAATACTAGAAACTCTTTTAGGGGCATTGCTAGGACTACTCTTTGGCAATAGTATCTCATCTACTGCTAGTACTCACAATGCCCCCATGAGTCTGGGAAACAGGCAATGGTACAGCTTTGCAGTCTGAACCACACACCTCACAATGCTCTCCCCAGCAGGGACCCACATATTACCACAAATTTGAGTCATTATCTCCTTGGCTTTGTCCACTTTGTCTGGGCTCCTGGCTTCCCTTGCACCCTGTGTGAAAGAGTAACTTCCAGGGTCCTTTGGGTGACTGTATAACTTCACCATATTTAATAAATGCCACTTTCGTGCCCGAATAGTTACATACAACTGTGATCTTTAGAGGGCAAGAATAGTCTAATTTATATTACTATACTCTCCAATCTAAAACTTCCTGATTCACAGGCTGTACACTTCAGAAATCAGTTTGATTGTTACATTAAGGGTGGTGATTGTCTTCTCTCCTGTTGTGTCTGGGAAAGGAGGTATCTGTTCTTCCTTCCCCCACCCCAGAAACAGGTAGGGAAATGCACATGCCCCAAACTGCTCACCCAGAAAACAAAATCATTACGGAGTGCCTGAACCTGTTAATGGAAAATCTGGAAAAGTGCTGAAACAGTCATGGTGAGAGATTACATTTTCCCCATGTGAAAGGCAGGCTTCTCATCAAGCCAGGCAAACCCAGAAGACTGACTACCTTATACAGAGGTAAACATCAACACCATCAATGCGGAGAAAGTAAACACGAATCGCCCATTTCAAAGGACCTGTGACCTGTCTCCTGAATGCTTTCTGACATTCGTTTTTCCCTTCAGCAGTATCACACACATTAAAATATATCACTCCATCTTCAGTGTAACAATCCATGCAGATCCCACTAGCCCCCTTCCCAGTGCGCATTACCCTGCGTGCCTGCTCGCAGAGCCCTGCTTTCATAACCTAATAGTTGGTCTGGAGGTGGCCCCATGACCCCACCTTGGGCAGAAAGATATCAGAGAAGTCTATTAGATGCTCCAGAAAAGATTTCACCCCCAGCAAGAACATGGTTCGAAAGTTCTCCCCCTGGCCGAAAAGACCAGGATGCCCGGGCTAGTGATGCAGACACTGAGATCCTTTTAGAGCCTGGGCTCTTTTTCATAAACAACTACTAAAGTCTAAATCTTTTTATTTTTAGGTTGTCTAAGGCCATGCTCCCACCCTGGCTGGTTGCCAGTCTGACCCAGCTCTGCTGATATAATGGATCCTGCCTGGGTGAACAATGAGGCAGTTGTCACAAATCCCTGTCCATTTAGCAGGCAGTGGACTTAGCACAGGGGTTTCAATTAGGTAAGATATTTACGTATGGTTACTCTATAGCCATCGACGCAGGACTCAAGCATTCGTCACGGAATCTGGCAGGCTTTCAGAAGGCAACGGTGGCAGTTGGGGGTGGAGAGCTGGTTCATGCATTTGAGCGGGAGCTGAGAGTTTGTGATTCAGGGATTCTGCTGCTCTGGTCAAGGGAGAACGTGTTCCCACTAAGGAGATGGCAGCATTCTGGGGACTCAAATTTTTGGTAATATGTGGGTCCCTGCTGGGGAGAGCATTGTGAGGTGTGCGGTTCAGACTGCAAAGCAGACCGGTACTCAGGAACTACATGGACACCCAGAAAGGGCCTCGTAACATGGCACATTTTAAGTATTGCTTTTCTGTGATGCGATTTCCTTAAATATCCTCAGTCGTTAGTGAAGTGTGTCAAACATGGCCACCTCATGTGAGCTGTGCTTTGGAGAATAAAGAGAGGAATCCGAGTCCTAAGAAATCCACAGCAGCAACACACAGAAAAGAAGACAAGAGAACCGGAGTTGCCACTCCGAACCATTGGTTTTAGGCACAGCTTCACGGTGCCTTCCAGACAAAGTGCCACAGAGGCTAAAAAGGAACCTAGAGGTCACCTCAAACACTCCACCTCTTTTTTTTTTTTTTAAAGCATTTTATTTTTGGGGGTGCCTGGGTGGCTCAGTCAGTTAAGTGTCTGACTCTTGATTTCAGCTCAGGTCATGATCTCAGGGTTTTGAGATCGAGCCCCACATCAGGCACACATGCTGGGCTTGTAAGCTGCTAAAGATTCTCTCTCTCCCTCTTCCTCTCTCCCCCCACCTCTCTCTAGTAAAAAAGAAAATAAAAGAAGCA